CTGCTACATGCTGGGCCCCGGCCTGGCCTTCGGGCTGCTGGGGGAACCCTGGAGGCCTGACACTGTCCTCCCATTCAGAAGGCAAGTGAGCCTGGCAGGGACTGACCCAGAGAACCACTTTCCTTAGCCGCTTCTCTTGTGTGCGAGCGATGGGCCCCACCTCATCTCTTGTAGGTAACCCTTAAAGCGGCACAGACCGAGGCACACACACCGAAGTGTCTCTCCCATCTTTCCTAAACTGACCCTGTTAGGACCAGCTTGGCACGGCAGGCAGTAGCTCCCAATCCCACTGGCACAGTACAGCACCGCTCAGGGGTCACTGGGTCACAGCTGAGGTGGGGAGCAGCCTCCCATCCTCACAGTCACTCCGTGGGCACGGGTGCAAATCCTGCCTCACCCACTCACGGCTGATGCTGAGGGCAAGCGTGAAGCCAGTCTCTCACCTGGAGAAATGAGCGCCGGGCCATGGACTTCTGAGCTGGGTCACATGGAGAGTCACTGACAGTGCTGAGTTCTGTTTCCAGCACTTTCTACCTCTGGCGCGGCTGCCACAGCCAGCACTCCCCGTGGCTGGGAGGGATCACTGCCAGCATCGGAGGAGATGCATCCCGGTGTCAGGGAAGCGGGAAGCTGTGCAGTCTTCTAGGCTGTTCCAGAGTAACTGCTCTTCCTCCCCCATCACCCAGCTCGGACGCTAAGGCAGCAGAGACGCGGAGCCGACACGCACTGCTCTGCGGTCGCACTGTGCGTGCTGGGTCTGCAGCTGTCTGGCCCTGAGGCCGGGCTCCCTGCTCGCCGTGCTCCCCTTGCAGCTGGAATAGACCAAGCGTCCTTGGAAGTGTGTGATAGGGCGTGGCGGCCCACACCATCCAGAAGCAGGCGTGCGGTCAAACCCAGTCCCCGTGCCCTGCCCGAATCCATGGAGGGGTGGCGTCTGGAGCCCACTCTATACACCTAAATGTTCTCATCTGAGCAGCTCTGAGTGCTGTGGGAATGACACCGGGTGACCTTCACTGCCGGATCACACAAAGACGACTTATTTTCTCCTGGGCTGTTCATCTCCCCCATGGCCGCTGCTCTTGGAGAGGGCACATTTGATGTTTCAGCCCCGGCTCTGGTCTTGACCAACATCCAGTGCTGGGCATCTGGGTGATCCAGACCTGGCCATGGGGCCTCCCTCGCCCCGCCTGGTACCCAGGGGCCAGAGATGACTGGCCCTGTCCAGAAGTGCAGAATCTTGAACAACAGTAAAGGTCTTGTTGCTAATTTTGAGGTGCTGGGCATGGAACCCGGGGCCTGGCACATGCCAGGCAAGTGCTCTGCCGCTGAGCCGCACTCCCACGCCCCTTGTCTTTGCGGCCCTCATGTCACAGGGTAATCTCTTCGGCAGTCAGGGTAGCTGGACCAAGAGAGTGAAACAGCATCTGGAGGGCTCAGCTTCCAGCACAGAGAGACAAACAAGTTTCTGGGCTCCGGGCTGAACCTCTCGCCTGACTTCAGGCAGTCTGTGAAGAAACACCGCTCAAGTTACCAGCCAGACCATGGATGAGCCTTAGGGCCACGCCCTGCCTACACGTGGGAAGTGCGCTCTGCGTGTTAGTGCTGCTGCCTGTTCTAAGAGATTGAAGTTTCTGCTGAGGCTCGCTGACTCACTCCAGCCCCCTGCTGCCTGGTGCTGTGGGCCACAGGGTCCCGTGCAGCTGGCGGTGTGCGTGCCCCGTCCCTGCCCCTGCTGTCCACCTTGCCTGTCCACCTTGGTCTCCCTCTGCCCACCTGTTCGTCTGATTTGCTGCCGGGCCGTCCCGTCAGGCCTGCTGTCTGGGTACCACTTGTTGCTGGCCCGTCTCCAGCGCCCTGGGCACTCTGGGCTCCAAGGCTCACAGCGATGCGGGGGATGCCCTCCTCCAGGTGAGGCTCCCACAGCAAAGCCTCTGTCCCTGCCTCAGAGCTGCCGGGATGATAGTTGGCCCACCGACATTCTGCTCCACGTATGGGCCACACCTGACATTTGGGATCCTCGGAAACGTCCTCGTCCTGACCTGAGGAGGCGTCTATCTCTCTTCCATAGCAGGGTGACCAGTACTGGGCTCGCTTCTGGCTTGGCTGAACACACCCCTTCCCTTAGGTTTTCCCACCTCCCCGCAGGAAGGTGCTGACCACTCACTGATTCAGCGCTTGCTAGGTGATCCGGGCCCTGCCCGTGGGCACCTGTGAGGGGTTTCTGTGAGTCCCAGGGCTGGAGCCTCCTCCAGGAGCCCTCGCTGTGCACCGCAGACTCGGGGCCGTGTGGTGCTGTGTGGTCCCATCACCCAGGTCTTTCACTAACCAGAGCATGTCTTGCCTCATCTGAGATGGCCCAGTCAGTGAGGACTGCAGGGGTCAAATAGCACCCAATGTCCTTTGAGAAGCTTCGCAGCCAGTGAGGAAGCCTGGGAGCAGGCGGAGCCAGGGTCAGATGATGTCTTCTGCCTCGGCTAAAACCACGCATGGTGCCTGTGGCCCTGCTGGCCACCGAGTGGGTTCTGATTGGATTGCTGCATGATCAGTGAAGGAAAAATGTGTTATGTATGGAGTTGACCCGTGGAAAATCTCAAATTTACCAGTGTAAGCTAGCTTTGATGTGACACCGGAAACTCCTGGACGGTCAGGGGCAGGAAATCAAGGTATTGAATGGTGCTGTATAGTATTTTTGGTCTTTTTCCTTTTTTATCGGTACCAGGAATCGAACTCACGACTGCCTGCTTGCAAGGCAGGTGCTTATGCTGCTGAGCTAAATCCCCAGCCCCAGCTGTATAGTATTTTAACACCCTGTTTCCTTTGGTTTTAGACAATTAATGCCAAAAGCCTGAATATGAATTACGTGTTTTACTTACCTCCATTTTGCTCATAGAAAAGTTCCAACTATTTACATTTTTAAAATGTAATTTTCTGTTGCCCTCAATATTGTGAATGGCCTTTTAAACTAGCTGGGCGATACTTGTGGGTGGAGCTGGGCACTGCCATAGTCTATTATTTACTAAAGTTGTATCTATATGAAGCCCAGCCAACTAACAATTCCAGCTTTTGTAACATTGACCATTCTGTAAGATTACATAATTGTAATTGATATTCCTAACGAAATGCCTGGATATTGCACCATTATGCTGAAAAATCTTTGAATGAAGTCACAATGAAAGACTAAATTATGCTCAGCGAGGTTTTGGTATTAAGTCTTTATATCACTTTATTATATCCACAGGCTTTATTTTTTGTTTCATTTTGTTTTCTTTTTGATACTGGGAATCAAACTCACAACCTCACACTTGCCAGGCAGGAGCTTACACCGCTGAGCTCAGTCCCTGGCTTTTATCCAAAGACTTTGCACACGGCATCAACATGTGTGTGGGGCCCCATCAGAATGGAACTTACCATTCTTGAGAAAAATGCTGCAAATCACACCTGCAAAAAGTGTATGTGCTTGTAGGGAGGGTATTGCCATAGAAAAATCCCTGCGCACCTAACAACAGGTTGGTTCATCGTTGTGGCAGATTGCGAGGGTAGACGGCCACACTGCTGTGGAGCAACCTGCTGAGGATTCCTGTTCTGAGGGCCACCTGCAGGCCATGGAATCAGTCACCAGGTTCCTACGAGTTTTGAAAGCATTGAGAGCAGAGTCAGGGACCTCAGCCCTGAGGGTGATAAGCAGCTGCTTCCCACTGGGAAGACTCGTCACTGGCCCTGCTGGCTGCTGTGGCTGTTAGAGACAGAAGCAAGCAACCCCCGAGTTCTGAGCCAAGGCCTGGGTTACTGCTGCTCCTGCCTGGCCCTTCAGGCACACATGGCGGGGCAGCTTGGTGAGACCTGAGCCCCTGTAGGAGCCTACCTTGTGGGGTGTCAGTGAGGGATCCTGCCCTGTCTCGCTGGAGAACTTTACAAAGAACCTCAACAAAAATTTAAGGGGAAGTTGCAGTTTTTGAGACATTGTTTTTCTGCTATATTCAGAAGACATTCTCACCAAGTCGAAGTCATTTAAGAAAGATGAAACACGTGGGCCAAATTCTGCTTCATGAAGACACTCATCGAGCCAGGCATGGTGATGCACACCTGTAATCCCAGGACTCATGAGGCTGAGGAAGGAGGATCCTCCAGATTTAAGGCCAGCCATGGCTACATAGTGAGTTCAAGGCCAGCCTGAACTACAGTGAGACTCTGTCTCAAAAAAACAAATGAAAAGGAAATTTATTACTGTAAAGGACGCATTGCCTTTAGGCCCCGTCACACGCTCCTTGCTTGGCACACGCACTCTCCTGTCATTTCCTGCAGCCGCTCTGGAGTCCTCTTTCGTCAGGGTCTTTGCTTGCACTGTCCTGGCTGCCTCCACGCCCTCCGTGGATTCAGACCATCTACTCCTGTGGTCACTTTGGCTTTAGGGGAGAGCCAGGGGTTGCGTGGTGCGACACTCGGGAACGAGGTGGAGGAGGGGCTTCTCTGGGAGGTCCCCAGTTTCCTGGGGAAGCGTCCCGGGTTCCCCTTCCTGTCCCCGTCCTCTGCAGGCCTCTTAAGCCCAGTCTCTGGGTTTATTCAGCTCATTCTTCTGCTTTTCTCTGAAACATCCGTCTTCTTTGCCACCATCTTCTCCACTTCTCAGGAAAAGCAGTTTGGCGTCCCGGCCTGAACGCGTGCCCCGTCCTGTGGGGTCCTTCCCTCCCCTCCCCTCCCCTCCCCTCCCTTCCCTCCCCTCCCCTTCCCTTCCCTCCCCTCCCCTCCCCTCCCCTTCCCTTCCCTTCCCTTCCCTCTCCCTTCCCTCCCCTCCCCTCCCCTCCCCTCCCTTCCCTTCCCTTCCCTTCCCTTCCCCTCCCCTCCCCTCCCCTCCCCTCCCCTCCCTCCCTTCCCTCCCCTCCCCTCCCTTCCCTTCCCTCCCCTCCCCTCCCTTCCCTTCCCCTCCCCTCCCCTCCCCTCCCTTCCCTTCCCCTCCCCTCCCCTCCCCTCCCTTCCCCTTCCCTTCCCTCCCCTCCCTTCCCTTCCCTTCCCTTCCTCCCTCTGCAGTTTTTCTCATAGTTTCCCCCCCCACTTCTATATATACTCAGATTTCTCAATTTTGTCTTCTGGTTCCCAAATTTCTTTTCATGTTATTTCACTTCAAATATTCAGCCTTACTGCTTGGCATCTTTTTAAAATCATTCTTTTTTCTTTTTATGGGTGTGACATTCTCTCAGATTTTTCTGAAAATGGTACTTTTTTTATAAGAGTGTTTGTCTCATTTTAACAATTTCCTTTAGCACCCCCCCCCTCAGACAGGGTCTCACTGTGCGGTTCAGGTTGGCTTTGAACTCACTGTGTTGCCCATACTAGCGTTGAGCTCACAGTGACCCTCCTGCCTCAGCCTCCTAAGTGCTGGGATTACAGCGAGCACCAGTTCTTCCTTGGTTCTCCCTCAGTGATTGGTGACGGTTATGGGGCTGCCCATATTTGTAAATGAGGGGCGTAGTGCAGCCGGTGGAGGGACTGGCGGGGTCTCCCTGGCAGGTAGGCAGGGCGCTGTGTCCTGTGCTCCTCCTCATAAAAGGCGGGGCTGGGAGTCTGGCTCATGGGAGAGAGGAGGGTGGCAATTACACATGGGAACTCGTGACCCCCAGACTGTCACCATCAGGAAGGCTTTGCTCTAAGGGTGAATCACCACGTGGCACCCTCTGTGCAGACTGTGGAGTGAGGGAGAAAGCCAGTCGTGCTCTGCGGAGTCCTCGTGTTGATTACCCTGACTGCCTGCTCCCTGGGAGCCGGGGCCTGACTTCTCCAGCTCTGTTGTGAAGAACGCATCCCACCTGTGTGTCCTTGGACTCCGATGCCTGTTTTGTGTCAGAGTTTCCACTGGCTCAACTCAGCTGTATCTGTTTGCTGTTTTCCAGAAATTCCTTAGCCTTTGCCTCGCGGTGGTGGGCTTCCCTGCTCCCCGCCCTGTGGCCGATCAGTGTTTGCCATGCGGCTGGTAAACCCTCAAGCCTGTCTGCCAGCTTGAAGGAGATGCCAGTGCCTTAGGGGCCAGTGCCACGGGTGTTGGTGCCGGGATTCCTCCAGGCCGTGTCTCCCCAGGCCTCTGGGAATCCATCGCTCCCTCTTCGAGACCAAAGACTGCTCTACTGCTCTGGCTGGTTCCTGCACAACCTGGATTGTTGTGCAGGGACGGCAGAGTGTGTGTGTGTGGGGGGGGGGCCTGGGCGGGTTCCAGCCTCAGATCCACAATAGCTGCCCCACCCTCAGAACCTGCTCTCGCCCGGCTCCTCACTTCCTGGGCCTCGCAGGATACAGCAAACCCTGGTTCTAACACCGGCCACACAGCTCTCCTCCTCCTCCATTAAAGTCTGAGCCCCCTGCAGGTGGGCTGTATGCCTAGTTTTACATTTGCATGCTCAATACGCCCTGGGGGGCTGGCAAGCAGGACACAACAGACTAAGTAGCCACGGAGCAGACAGAGACGTGCACGATCTCGGCCATGACCCCGGGAAGAAGTGTGCTGGCTTCCTTCACTGAACAGGAGGCCACAGGCTTCCTTCAGGAGAGGCAGCTCTGGAGCCATTTCACACAGGAGGAGGGTAATGTGAGGGCTCGAAGGCAAACCAGAGCCTATTTGGGGGCTGCACTGGTGGGTGTTGTTCCCAGAGGGCTGTCAGCGGCCAGTGCAGCCCCAGGAGCCCCTGACCTGTGTTCTGTCCAGGTGTGCTGAGAGGCTGTTGGGTAGCACAGGTCTCTACTCGGTGCCAGGTCCGTGAGTGTCGAACTTAAGACAGCAATGGGCAAAAATGCAGGTTCCGAGGATCTGTGGGTGTCCGTGCAGGCTCCTTCCTGGTTCCGTGTAACCCTACAGGAAAATGAAGCCTAGGGGTGCTGGCAGCCTGACAGCGCCTCGTGACATGAGCAGAGAAGCCAGGGCCTGCGTGGCACAGAGTCCCAGCTGGTCAGACGGGAGCACCTGCTCCGACCCCCGGTAGCACTGGCGCTCCCCGAGGTGCCCTCACATTGAGGCGCCCAGGGCTTCCCAGCCCACTGGCTGCCAGCCTCTCTGTCACTGTGACAGCTGCTGGAAACCTATCCTGCAACCTGCACTGGGCTCTTTCTAGCTTTCTGGGACTAAATCACCTGTCAGGTAACACACAACTTCCTGTGAGAGTTTCAAAACCAAAACTCACGTCCAGTCCTTTCAGAGATCCCTGTTTACTTTGCACTGATTTTTGCTCCACAGGGTAGTCAGTCAATGACCTATGAACAAAGGAAGTTCCTGGGCCAAGCAGGCTCTGTTCCGTGGTTTGTTTCATGGTAGCCCCGTGTCTCTAAGTTGGGGTACAGCTATTTCCAGGGAACGGTGAGCCCACGAGACAGCACTGCTCTGTGGGAGCAGCTTCACGGTGCTGGCTGCGCCCTCTCTGAGGTCTGTGCCCCGCCACTGTCTGGAGGAAGAGCTTCGGCCACTGGGAGCAGCTGGTCTGTGCGCCTGAGTCACTGATCCCGCTGGCGCTCCCTACTTACAGCCTTTGAGAATCTCTTGGCAGTGTCTAAGAGACAATGACTCAAGTCTTATAACCTGTCATAGCGCATTTTAGCTTTGCCTAAGCAATACCCCGTGACCTCCAGAATCAGTCACTTCCCATTACTGGCTTTTGAGGCAGGCTGGTCTTGGTCTCTCGTTACTGGGTGAGGAAACCAAACCCCGAGGGAGTGATTTCCACCCGAGGGCCTGGCGGTGTCCTCAGAGTCAGGTCCATGGTCCTGCAGCTCCCTTCCCCGCTCCTCCACGTGAGCACACTCACCCCTGCATCAGCCCAGGGGAGTGCACAAGGCCCTGGCCCTGCGTTTACAAGGAGTCACCTAGAGAGCTGGAGGAAATGCCTCCCACCAGACGTGGATTCCTTTGGGTTGGGTGGGGCCGGAGCACAGGTTTTGCGCGTGGAAAAGGAAAAAAGAAAAAAGAGAGGAGAAGAAAGGTCCCAGGTGACGCTCATGGGCACAGTGGGTGCGCTGACCTTCCAGTTCCGACCCAGGGTGTCCCCCAGGGGCCCCCATCCTGCAGATGCAGCCTCCTGAAGTCATGTCTGGTTCAAGTATCTCGTGTGAGCACGAGTGGCTGAAAAGCTCACTTCTGGTGACATAGACGGTGCTGGAAGGGGCCAGGGACCTCGTGTGCCCCCTGTCTCAGCCTTGACACCGGGGACCTCCCAGGGCTTCCTTCTCGTGGTGAGGCCCGCAGAAGGCTGACTCTGGGTTGTTCTGTGGCAAACACATTTGCCAGATGAGTGAAATCTAGTGCTTTATCATTGAAAGATTTGTTGGTGCTTTTGTCACAAATCTGTAAGAGGCAGACACCAGGCCGGGGATTTAGCTCAGTGACGTAAGCACCTGCCTGGCAGGCACAAGGTCATGAGTTTGATCCCTGGTACACCACCTGCCTCCCCTGACAAAAAGAGGAGTGTAAAATGTGTTTCCTAGATTCAGCCATGGAGCCCTTTCCTCCCGGAATCAGAACCTTCTATTCCTATGGCTCTTTTGCCATCAGCCCCCTGTCCCAGGTGGGGGCTTCTGCTTTCAGGCCCCTTCCGCGATGCTCAGGGGTCTGTAGTGCCCTCCATGGGGCAAGGCTTCCTCCCCAGGTCCCTGCACTCGGGAAGTGAGGTGAGAATGTGAGTGGAAGGCGGTGAGGCCCAGCCCTGCCTCGATCACAGTCTCCTGACACGTGGTTGACCCCCAAGAGCGCCTCTTGGGGTGTTCATCCAGGGAATGGGATGGCCCAGTTATTGCTGCCCTGGACGGGTCCACAGGTGCACCCAGGACTGGGGTCTCAGCTGACTGATGCTTGCTGGGCATGGAGTGTTTTCCAAGCTGGTTTTGCACAGACCTAAGAAGCAGGAGGTGAGAGTCCTCCTGGCTCCCTGCCTCTCTTTTCTCACCTCTCCCAAAGGGCCCATCACAGTGCAAACCAGTCCTGGAAATAGGTGACCAAAAGCAAACTTCGTGCTAATGTAAAACATTACCCTAATGGTTCCTTTAGGAATCAGCCCCATCTGTGGATGTCCCTCCCGGCCTTGGTACCTGGTTCGAATCCAGGCACGCAACAGGAAAGGCTCCCTGACATGAGCATGTAATGATCAGCTTTGCAAGTTTAGCTGAAGAAGAGATCAGGGATAAGGGTGTGTGGTTTCTTTGGCAATTTTAGAGTGGGTAGTACTGATGTTAAGTAAGTTCCCTAATAAATAAAGCTTTTCTTCTGCGCTCCCTGCCTCTGCACCCTGGGAATGATGCGTTGCTGTGGGAATTCTTGGCCCCACCTCACCACCCTCCTGGGTTTCTGATCTAGAAGGACCGTGGGGGTCTCAGGGCCATCAGATGTGGCAGTGAGTGGGCACTACCACGCGAGCCATCCCTTGGCATTGCTCCCTCTGCACCTGCCTGACAGCACGACCGCCGAGCCACCGTCTGCTTTGATTTTGGGTGAGGTGCAGACAGACAAGAGAAACAAGCGACTTTGAAGGGAGGAACTGGGACTTGTACGGGAGTCACAAATGGAATGACAGGAACGGGGTTCAGTCTGCACAAACGTGCACTGCAAGCTGTTTCATTTGGGGAGTTAAATTTAAACACTGCTGCCACCCATGCCAGTGGGTAAAAATACAGTGACCATGTTTTCTTAAACCTGGATCCAAATGCAGTCTGCAGATTTTATCTAGTTTTTACATTTTAAGTTTTTAAAGCCTTCAGCCAGCATAAGGATTAATCCGTCCCTAGTTTTAGATGAAAAAAAATGCTGGGTTGAAAAGGGAATCATTTGAGATCGTGATTTCTGGAGGGCGTGGGCCCTGGCTACCTCTGCACGGTGCCTCGGGAGAAAGTGGGGCTGGCAGCTCGTGCTGTTTGCCAAGTGTGTCAAGAGTCCCGGTCGCCCGTGACAGCTGGCACCGCAGACAAGTCACTCGCTCTGGGTTTATTTTTTCCTGGTTGGAGAAATAGCAGCTACTTGCCAACCTACTGCTTTGCAGGAAGCCGACCAAGAGTTTGCATAATGAGGCTGTCGTTTCTAATCATTTATTCAGTGTAAATTGTGACCGCCCCAGAGTTCTTTCAGGGAAGCTCTGTATGATGGGAGAAAATCTAGAAGAAATAATATTTACGCTCATCTTGGCTGATGATCATAATGCCAGCTCCCAGATGAGAGTTCTGAAAGGGAGTTAGGCCAGCATGCCGGGCACATTACATGAAATCCTTCCCAAAGAGAAATCAACCCATGTGCCCTGGGCCATTGCAGATTAACAATCCTCCAGGCTTCGGGGCTCCTCTGCCCCCCATGCTCAGTGACAAGAGCAGAGGCTGAGGTGGTCTCTCAGCCACTTTTTCTCCTGTTTGAATCCTGCTGGGTGACCGCCCCCATTCCTGCCTATGTGAGCCCTGCAAATGCTAGAGGCCCTGGCTGCGCGAATGAGGTGTCTGGTTCCAGTCCGCCCAGCCACAATCCTAATTTTGTTTGAAATCTCACAGTGCTTCTAAACAAACAGGGACACACGTTTCTTCAAGCCATGTATTAGAATCAGGATTAGGAAGACTTTTTACCTTTCATACAGTTGAGCCAATGGGAGATGCTTTTGCACACCAGAAATCTGAAAACCCAGCCATGGACACAGTGGTGAGGAGGAGGACTGGACCTGGAGGAGGGGCAGGTGAGCTCCCCTAAGCAATTCCCTTAGCGTCAGATCCGTTGGACCTAAGCAACTGCAAACTAACTGCTTACCTCTCCCCAAGTAACAGTGCTACTTAGTAATGCCTAGACTCTGTTTCTCACCCCTAAGTAATAGATGACGCCTGCTTCCTTTTGAGTGACTACAGCTTTATTCTCAACAATCTAGTTTGTTGTCATTCCAAGTCCTAATGTTCAAATCTCCAGACGTTATTTCATATATAGGCACATATATATGGATTTCATCTACCAACAATCCTGATGCTTATTGAATAGTTTACTGTATGCCTGTCCTTATGAGTATGAGCTGCCTAAAAGATACTTTTAACTCCTCACAGTAATTATAATAACAATGCTAATAATTCTGTTATTATGTTGACTTTATAGATGATGAAACTGAGCCCACTAAAGTAGTCGGCCAGACATACTCAGTTTCCACAGGAGGAAGCCGGTGCCCAGCTGCAGGCCTGTGTGTTTCCCAGCTAAGGGTTCCCTAGCTGATGGGGGAAACCAGTGATGAATATCAGGAACCAAACAGTGCTAACTGAAGTGGAAAGATGTCCATACATGGCAGCAAATCAGTTACACAGCTGTAGGGGTTCTGATGAGATTTTTGCAAGTTGGGCAGGGATATTCTGTGTGTGTCTGTGTATCTGTGTGTCTGTGTGTTGAAACTTCTTTGGAAACTGATAAAAGTTTTGGGCCCCTTTTCTTAAAAATGTATGTCTGCATACACACAAAATTTCATATACAACTTAAAAGTTCAGATTAGAGTTTTTCACATACATACACACGCACACGTACACAGAGTATCACATGTATTCACATGTAAGGAAAAATCTAGAAAGATAGGTATCAAGGTTAATCGTGCTCTCTAAGGGATAGGATGTGTTAGCTTTCTAGCGCTGTGACCAAGACCCTTGAGAAAATAGCTTAAAGAAAGAAGAGAGGTTTGTGCTGGCGCGTGGCTTCAGCCCCCGGGCTTTTGCTCTGTGGATTTGGCCCCCGGGGCCCAGCAGGCAGGGCAGGAGCGGTGCCCAGCAGGCAGGGCAGGAGCGGTGCCCAGGAGACTGCTTGCCTCGGGCAGCCAGGAAGCCAGGAGGGCAGGGAAGAGGCAGGGGCCGGAGTGCCCTGCCGGCGCAGTGGGACCTGGCCTCCTCCTGTAGGGCTCCAGCCCTCCAACAGGGCCACGGGCTGCAGACAAAGCCTTCAACACACAGGCTGTGAGACGTCTGAAATCCAAGCTATGGCAGCCGAACCCCATTTTTCCTGTTCTCCTGTATACTTTTTCGGATGGTTAAATCCATTTTTAATGAAGGCCCTTTGTCTCCAGTTTGAAATGGAATCCGGTGCTTCTTTTCCTCCTGGTGGACGGGCTTCTGACACTTTCTCCTGCCATAACCCAGAGATGATTAATACCACTCTGAAAAAAACCCACGACACGCCTCTATGAATGCACCATATGCTTCCTAAAAGTTAAGAGTAACTAAGGTGGGGCGAGGGAACCTCAGAGAGCCCTTCTGACAGTGCTGTGCACGGCCGTAGGAGGTCGTGGGCAGAGCTCTGGGGGACCTTGAGGCTGGGGGCAGGCGCTCTCCGAGGATGCCCGCAAATGATGTTGGCACCGCCAAGCTGCAAGAGACTGAGCAGAAGGGCAGCAAGCTGGGTGCTAAACGAATTACCCTCGGGCTATCTGAGATGACCTGTTAATCTTCATCTCAGCCGGGTCTGGCGCTAACTGAGACAGCGGTGCCCAGGGCGCTCGGGGGTTCCACGGAGGGAACTCCTCTGCTCTCTTGAGCTGCCCCCCTGCAGCACCTGCAAAGTGAGGAGCGAGGCGCATCCCTGCACAGAGCGAGCAGCGCTGGCTTCCAGAGCCCTCTGTCCTCGGGCTGCCTCACCCTCACACACGCACCTCACCTCGCTTTTGTGCAGAGAGCTCCTACACTGTGATTACACACCCCGACTCTGGGCTTAAACAAGGAAGCCGGGGGGGATCTGTCACCTCGCCAGAAAGAGGCACTTAATCGTGCATGCTTTGTGGAGGAATCTGTCATCTTGCAGCCTGGTTGGCGCCTGGTGCAATCTGGAATTTTGTACATCGTAGGTTTGATGACAGCTGGAGACCCCAGTGGTTCTCAATGCCAAGGACACTGGCTTGTCCTTGCCCTGACCTCCCCACCTTTGAAGCTTGCCCCCCTCAATCAGCAACCACAGGAGCAGCAAATACTCATGCACCTCTCTGGGTCCACACCAGTGAGCTAAGTAAGAGAGGACAGAGCAGCTCCTCTTTGTTCTCCTGTGTGTGTGTGTGTGTGTGTGTGTGTGTGTGTGTGTGTGTGTGTGATGTAAGTCCATCTGCAGGGAGGGCGGAGTGTAGAAGTCCAAGTCAGGATATCGTATTTCACATCTTGCTCTGCGGGGTTGGGACCAGAGAAGGTACGCATCTCTCTGATGCTTCCCATGCAACGGGAGGGGTTCCTGCGTCCCAGTCCTCCTGGTTGCCGTTTGCCTGGCAACTTCAGGGGCTGAGGTCCCTGCAGGAGGTGGCCTCTGTTGTAAACAGTCCCCGTGTTCACGTGAGAACAACCTGGACTTGCATCGTGATGCAGCCACTTTCTGGCTGTGGTTTTGTAAAATTTCTCACTTTCCCTTCACATCTGTTTCCTTGCATAGCGGTATTAATATCTACATTGCCAAGCCATTCGGGGGATTAGATTGGCTGTCACATGGGAAGTACCTGGCGCTCTGCAGTGCTCCAGAGGCAGCAGCTAATGAGATCATTAAGGCGCCCGAACTGCAGCCCCTCCTCCGCCTCCTGGTCACTGCAGGTGGCGGCTCCTGTTTCCTGCACCCCCCTGAGCAGGCATCTTCTGGGAGGCCACATGCGCCGCCTGCCCACCCCCACTTCTCCAAGGTCACCACACAGATGAAGGTCACCAGAGGCCACTGGCTGCTCAACACTGTGGCCGACCAGCAGGAAGAGCTGTACCCTCACCTCAGAGTGGTTCCCTGGGCTTCATGACACCCCACGTCCTCCGTCTCCTCCTGTCTCTGTGGCTGGTCCTCCTTGGTCTCTGTAGCAGGAGTGCTTGATCTTTAGGTGTTTGGGGTACCCTGGACTCAGTCATTTTTCCCTTTTTCTATCAATACTTATTATTCCCCTACTGTGCCCACCCAGTGCTGTGGCTGTGAATACTATTTTTGTGCCAGCAATCCCCAAATATATGTTACCAACTGTAAGCCAGTTTCAAAATCTGGACTCCTATGATACCACAAAACCCTACTCGAGTAACAATTAGGGATCTCAGCTTGAGAGCTCATATTTCAGCTCAAGTGTGGGAGAAAGAGGAAAGCTGTTGTCCCAGGTAGAAGGCAGTGGGGTGGGAGCGGGTGGGTCAGATTTTTGTTTGGTTAACCTTCAGCTGACTGGACGAGGTGCACCCACATGGGGCAGGGTGATGGCTTGGCTCAGCCACAGGTCCGTCACATTCAAGAACCACTTCACAAAAGCACCCAGAATGTAGTAGTTTGGCCAAATAGCTAACATTCCGGGGCCTGGTTAAGTTGGCACATGTAATTAACCATCACACACAGCAAGTCCAAGAGCTGGACAAAAGCCACCTGTGACCCTCCCCTGCCATTGATTAGCGTTGGGCCCTTCGGTTTGAGCTCACGTGGCAGCCCTGGAGTCATCCTCGCCAGCTTTCTTCCTGTCAGGGAATCCCGTGCCCTTCAGGCCGGGGCCCGGGCTTCTCTTGGACCGTTTTCCCTTCCTGCTTTCTCAACGCACACGCAGTTGTTGCCCCGGAGCTCTGTCGGGATCTCAAAGTCAAACCTGCTGCCGCAGGCTCCTGCCCCCACCACAGCCAGCTTCACCTGAGGCATGTGCCTGCAGCGTCCCTTGGAAGCCCACGGTCCTCCTCCGCCTGCCGCAGGGAGACGCCCCGCCTGTGTGCAGAACGCAGGGACCCATGTGTGCTGGCAGAGTGTGCATCCTGCAGAGCAGGAAGTGAGGCTGAAGACTGGAGTCCCTTGGCGAGGCCACAGCTGGGGGAAGCTCCTCCAGAGCGGCTTTCACAGGGTCACAGAGGCAGTGCTGGCCTCTGGCACCTGTCCGCAGCTCAGCTCCTAGGTATCGATTTTCTGTTCCAATGAAAGGTAGAACTTAGTTCAGAGAGCAGGTGTCCAGAGGGCTGGGCTAGTGTACCTGGTTATCCTTGACCGTAGGCTAAGCGAATCTTATTTTTATTTCTATGCCTTTTGTCACCAGATAAAACCCCCCCACCGGGGGTCTGGAATATTCCACCTTCCCAGCACCAGTGAATGAATGTCATATCCTTGCCTTTCCTTTAAACTCTTCAGACGCCAAGTCGGCCATGCCTTTGGGGTGTCCTTAGAAGTCAATCCTTTCATCTTCCTAGATACTTGCAGTGCGGTCTCCAGAACACATTGGAATGTTTATTATTTTTGCGTTATGTTCCACAAACATGAGGTGCACACTTACCAAGCTGCCGTGCTTGGCCTGGGAAGATAGAGGGACACCCATCTGTTAGGGAAACGTGTGCACCTTAGTGAGGATCTGGCTGTGCTTTAACAGAGACCAAGTGGGCGATTGCTCTCCTGTCCCGGCTAATACACAACTAAAGGAGCAGGCTGTGTGCCCCGAGGTTAGCTGGGCTTCCACACCGTCCACATTTCCCCCAGAGGGTAGAATTTGGCTCCCGCACCCACATAGGAGTTCTAAGCTTGGGTGGGAGAAGAGGAGGACCAGGTTACAGACAGCGCTGGGGTCTCTAACTATCTTCTGCTCAGACCCCAGGGGCCGGCACCTGCGTAAGTCCAGCCAGAAATCCATCTCAGGGGCCCGCTGGGATTCCACTTCTAAAGGGGAGGGGGAAGCTGGTGACTGGGGGCAGGCAGGTCCCTGCACGGCCACCTCTGTAAACCTCCCCTGGCCTGTCCCTACAGAATAAGGCCTTCGAGGGCAGACCACGTCCTGCACCGCCCTCCACACCTGCAGCATCTGGCTCCTCCACAAATACCGTCAGCGAGGTGATTTGGGTAATGCGCTTTCATCCAAGAGATTTGGTCCAAGAGGTTTTATTCTAATGCCCTAAACAAACACTGTTCACTCCCAGGGTAAATACTGCAGGGACCTCAGTGTCACGGGCCACAGGGCGGGGCCATGGGCCACCGCACATGCCCTTCCTCCTGGGCTAGAGAGGCCGCTGGTCCTGAGGCACCTGCAGGAGGCGGCTGAGCAGGACTCCTGCCCCAGTCCATCCTGCTTCCCCACAGCCCCCATCTGCAGATCTGCTGACCTAATTCTGAACACAGGAGACGGCGCTGCTGGGGGGCTGGCACCGCATTCCTTTCCGGACTCCGCATGCTTCGTGGGAACCCGGGGCTCAGACTTCCCCTCCCCCAGGTGGCAGTGGTAGATTTGTTCTCTCCCATCCACGAGGAAGCCCAAAGGGATTTGCTGCTGGAGGAGGTAACAGAGCCGTACGTAGTAAAGCTCCCTCCCCTGCATCTGAACATCTGTTCAGACTGTGCACTGCTCCCGGAGGAAGGGACGAGCACCAGGCTTCAGGCTGTACAATTTACAGTGGCTGCCCTGCCCTGCCCTGCCCTGCCCTGCCCTGCCCTGCCCTGCTTTATCTCCCTAATGCCGCCTTTGAAGAAAGGCAGGAGCCTGCATAGTGGTGTTTATCACATTCATGAGAGCAACCCTTTGCAGGACAGTAATTTCGAACTGTTTGAATCCAAACAATGACTGCTGATACCAGATGATGGAGGCGATGGAGCCAGACCCCTCTGAGAACCCGGGTAAAGCGGGAAGCCAGCCGCCCTGGGGACTTGTGAGGGGCTGCTCCACAGGTCTGGAATTTCGGCAGCCCTCTTCAGACAGCTGGACGCCCCCCTCCCCAACACCAGCACCTCCCACTCCAGGTGCCACTCAGCTGTGACCCCAGGATGAATGAAGCTCCCTTCCCCCCTCCTGTGGTCACCTGTCCTTCCCAGAATAGTTAGCAGCATGGACTTCAGCCAAGCCCTTCCTCCGGCCCCGTGTGGAAGGCTCAGAGCTGCCCTGCCCAGCCGTCTCCCAGCTGGCCCTCCTTCCCAGCTGCCTGCAGCCCGCTGGCCAGGAGGTGAAAGCACAGTGATAAACCTTGTGAACGGACACCCCGACACCCCCTTGTTAGCCAGGCCGGCCAGGCGGTGGGGGAGGAGCAGAAAGTGCAGCCGATGATGTGTCCTTGGCGTGACAGATTGTCAATATCTGAGGGATTCTGCTCGGAGACACGGGACGCGATGTTCTCCAGCCAGGCCTGAGCTGTGTCGCCGCAGTCAGCAGCCCTTGGAGAATCCCATCCCATCAGGTCTGTGGGGCTGAGCCGTGACCTTGGGCGAGCGCACACCCTGACCACCACTTCCCTTGGGCGGCCCCTGGAGGGCGGTGAGTGGCACAGGTCAGGCTTTGGGACAGCTGTGTGCTCCGCTGTCTCCCCACAGAGGGAATCCAGTGTGCTCACCTGAAATATTGATCCTTTTCCCGGGGTTGTTTGGGGCAGTGTGTGTGGTTTCAAGGCCTCTGCTCCTGGCCCTCTAGAATGCTTTGGTCAGATGGCTGAGCTGGGGAAGGGGCAGGGAGCAAAGCATTGCTCTCCCATCCAGGTCCAGCAGGTCAAGGAACACGCTAGAGACCCACCGGAGACCAGGTGCCTGCTCCTTCCAGGAAACACGGCACCACCTCCCCTTCATGTCGCGGCTAGCAGTTTTCTCTGTCTGTGTATGGGACTACACCCGTGCAAACACCCGTGCAAACACCCGTGCCTCTCTCTCCCTCTTCCTATCCCTTCTCTCCGGCCCTCCCTTTCCCATCCGCTCCTCCTCAGTTTCCCTCGGTTTCTTTGTCTCTGGAGCATTAGCAACTGTTCTGGCTGACTGCCTAGGCTTAGAAGACAGAATCTTTGTGCAAATTTCTTCTTGCCATTGGCATAGAAGCACTGTATAAATCAGCCAGACACTTTGTTGTAAAACTTTCTCATTATCAACATGCTCTACTGTTTCATTTTATAAGTGCCTCTTTGTCTTCCAAAAAGCGTTTCAGATTAAACCGTGCTGTTACCGAAAATGTGGGCGGTTTCTGCTTGTATTGGCTGATTGAATTGCAGTGGCCAGTTGCAGATATTAATTTGTAGAGAACGCTGTAGATTAAAGTGAAGACTTAGTTTCTTTATTAACCAGCAGAGCCACTGGATTTCTACTTTCCAGTCAAAGAGCTCTGAGATCAACACGGGACCCAGTTCTCCATTTTAAATCTGGACTGGGCCTTTTCTTTTCCATCTGTTGGATGCATGATTCAAATTAAGTCACACAAAAAAGTCTTTTGCTCTCTATGGGGCACTGGCAGTGCACAGGTGTGAAACCTTCCCTGCCGTTGAGGGCCTCACAGTCCACTGCTGTGGCCCGCCTGTGGTTGGTGAGCAGGGTTCAGGGCGGAACAAGGTAGCTGGGGTGTGTGCAGGGCCAGGACACCTGGGCGGGAGAGGGACCCCGGTTAGGGTGGGTAGGGACACCTGCTCGTTAACTAGGTGAACACAGCTCTCCTTGCTGGGGGGCAGGGGGGAGCTGAGGGACCCCAAGTTAGCCAGTGAGTAGCGTGTGGCCCCTAGAACGTGCTGGGTCGGTGACTCGTGGTCACAGCAAGGCAAGCGTTGTGTCCGGCTTTATTGGGCAGCAGCTGGGCTTGACCGAGGGGGGACAGTGATGTCACTGCAGAGCAGCACACAGAGGAGACCTGCCCCTCCTGGATGGGGCAAGAGGGAGGGAGAGAGGGCCAGGTGCTTTGCAAAGGAAGCCTGGGCCCGATGCTGAAGCCCTCTGCCAGGCTGGGCTGAGGGGTTGGTTTGATTGTGAGGCTGTCAGAGAAGAGTAGCTGGAGACGGGGTTTTGTAAACTCAGCCTCTCTCCGATCTGAGGGAGGTGAGTCTGGAAGTGAGGGCACCGGGGCGAGCCAGACCGTGCCCACTTCACCCCACTAGCGTCTGCAGAAGCCCTACCGTGTTCCGGGGGTGTGGACACGCCAGGGGGAGGGAGACACTGATCGATGTGTTCTGACATAACATCAATTTTCTAGAGACAGGGGGCCATCCAGGGGCGGGGTGATGGGGAAGGGCCATGAAACATGGCTCTATGAGAACGTGCCACCCCTCCGAAAGCAGGAGCACAGAATCCATCACGGGAGCTGGGAGGAGGGGAAAGCCAGCACTGTCCCTGCCAGCGTCCTCATTCTTTGGGACGAGATTCCAGGACTTGTGCTGGCCAGGGCCCTGTGGGGCCAGGTCGTGCCCTGTATTCACCCAGAAAAGCCGAGAGAGACGAGCCACCTAAGGGAAGGGACCTGCGACCTGGGTCACTATTCCTGCCTCTCTGTGACACCTGGAATGCTGCACTGATTTTGTTCAGGTGAGAGTGACACCAGACTTTGGAAAGCTGTTTTCCTGTTGAAAGGGAACGCGTTGATAATGGAGACCCTGGGGTCCGGTGGTGTCAGGTCGGGGTGGATGCTGAGGCATGTCAGGTAACAAGAGGAGGAGGAGGTGACGGAGTATAAATACCGATGTGGCCCAGGAGGAAACGAGGAAATGAAAGGAATTCCAGCAGGAAAGGGGCTTTGCTTCCTGGATAATAAAATCCTAAAGAGCAGACAGAGCTGTGGGATGAGGCCCTCCAGTCCTCGACTGAGTTACTCTTTCCACTGTATTGGAGAGATGACCACAGAGGGCGTAATTTATTCCCTGAGCGGGCGTGTGCTCTGCAGAACGGGGAGGCTGACAGGGTAAGCCTGACCACCCGGGCATGGGCTGCACCGTGTCTGTGGGGCCACATTCTCACCCACAAAACCTCGTCCATCCAGATTCTCCCGTGGCCACATCTTGGGGTGCTGGGCAGCCCCAAGGATGCTGCATCAGGGACTCCTGAGGATCAGCCGCCCCATGGAGCCCTTTCCCTCTGAGAGCCTTCACTTGCACAGTGCCGGGCTTTTCTGGGGAACCCTCAGAATGAAGGCTCTTGAGACGGCAGAGCCCTAGCTGTCCGTGGACACGCAGGGATGAGGCCTTTTGGATCAAGTTTTCTCATGTTGGTCTTAATAAAAAGAGGAGGGCTTCCTCCCTGGTCCCCTGCTGGTAACACACTGCTGCATGGTGCACGGCGTGTTCAGGGCTCCGTGGCTTCCTGGTCTCCTCACATCAGCCACGATGCCATGGTGCATTTCCAGTTCAGGCTGAGCTCACAGTGGCATGCACCTGGGGACTCGCTCATCGCCCCTGGGCACCGGCACTGGTGAAGGGCACCCTGGCTCACCCTGCTGTCCCTGCGTTCCAGATACAAGCAAATTCACACGCAACAGAGAGCCCAAACATGAACGTCCCCGTGGGAGTGCGGGAGTCTGCTTTGTCCCACCCTGCTGCACAAGGACACTGATGGTCCTCTGAGGTGGGCGTCAGCCTAGAAGGCAACCGGACAGTAAGAGCGGTGGGGCGAGGCGGTATGTCCCCAAATGTTTCCGGGCAGCATGTTTTCCAAGTCTGTTACTGTGCCCACGCCGCCTGGCTGTGGGGTCCACCTCTACCTCAGCACAGACAGCTGTGCGGGGCACGGCTAACAGAGCGCAGCTGGCCCAGGTGACCCAAGCTCTCGTCCACCATGATCGATCGGGGTGGCTTTTAACTTAGCATCCAGATACGGGCACTTTGGAGAGTCAAAGGAGCATTGCTGAGGCTGAAGCCAGGATATGTGCAAACCACGAGGGGTACTGGACTAACTAACATGAGAGAATCTGCAGACGAAGGCAACTTGCTTAAAATTTGAGCCTTGGATTGTGTCGCATTGTGATTGCCGTCAGTGCTGCGAATGCTGCCTTCAAGTTGTTGGAATCCACTAGCAGAGGGAAGACGTATTGTGCAAGGAAACCGTTGGCAACAGTGTGTCTGTTTAACAAGGGTCAGATGAATGGCAGGCACAGGCTGTGGTGACGCGCGCTGCCTGAGGACTCAGGTGATGTCCTGGGTCAGTCTCCAGCTGGCTGGCCCCATGGAAGATCTTCAGTCTCTTTGAGTGCTCATGTGTTTTGATTGGTTGGTCTGTTGATTGTTTGTTGATTGACTCATCCACTTGGTGAACATGTAGACTTCCTGTGTGCCACACATGATGGTGGCCAAGAGCTTGGTCTCTTGGGGAGATGTACTTGGTTCCAGTAGCAGCTCTGGCTTTACAGTGAGACTTGGAGTTTACCCCTCTGACCTCCAGTTTTCTCATCGTAGCATGTGCTCTGGTCTGAATATTGCCGTCCCCCAGATTCATAGCTTGAAATCCAAATCCCCAAGGCGATGGAGTTAGGAGGTGGGGCCTTGGGATGATCAGGTCATGGGAGCCAGATCCTCACACACATGGGGTAGATCCTGAGGACACTCAGGAGGGTGCCACCCAGAAGGAGGCAGCCGACAGGCCCTCATCAGGCATGGACTGTGCCAGCACCCTAGCCTGGGACTTCCTGTCCTCCAGAACTGTGACAGAGCTATGTCCGTGCACTCTGTGTGTTGTGTTATAGCTGCACAAACACAGCGAGATAGCACCTGGCTCCTGCCACTGCTGCACACTGAAGGATGAAATAGCCTGCCTGGAGTCTGTATACGAAAGGTCTGGCAGTTTTGAACGTGTAGGAAATGCTCAAGAAGAGACAAGGGTGGCTGTTATTGTGGGTCCTGAACAGGTTGCTGGAACTGCAGGAGGATGGGGGGGGGGTGCTGGGAGGTGAGAAGGGGAATCTCCGGGCTTTTAGAGAATCCGGGGAATAAGTGAGGTGAGCGGGCAAGGTTCTCCGTGCTGATTACAGAACCTGAGGCCTTGACTCCGTGCATCCTGCTTCCTATTAGCGTGCGCTCAGCACCAAGGCAGAGAAAACTCAACCTCAGTTCTGAAATCCTGCATGCACCCTCTCGGGGCTGGATCCTGTCTCTTCCCTATGCCCGCGGCATCGCAGATGTGAGGACAGCGGTCAGGAAGGTGAGGCGTGGCCGCTGGGTGCCTGACGAGGGGCTTCCACGTCGCTCTGCACCTCGGTTGCTCTTCAGACCCGGGCCCTAATGCGGGACACCAGTGTCTCCCGCCTGACTCTTGGTCTTCCTGTGCCCCTCCCCACCCTCTGCCCTCCCGTGGGCCACCGCTGGCCTCTGGGTGTGGTGCAAGCCTGACTGGTGTGTTTCCCGGCTCGGAACCCTCGGGCCAGCTGAGCCACCGCTCTGCAGGTGTTCCAGGAATTTATTTATAGTGCCCCTCCACACTTAGCTGCAGTATGACTCTCCTTGTGTTCACCTACCTGAGATCAGCCGTGGCCTAAAAATATTCAGTGGAAAATTCCAGAAATAATTCATGAATTTGAAATGCCCCATTCTGATAAAATGGCACGCTGTCCTGCTTCCTCCGGCCTCATTCACAAAGCAGTCCTTGTCCGGCGTCTGCACCTGCCTGTTGGCAGCCCTCTTGGCTGCCAGCGCTCAGGCTGGTGCTGCCCACAGCTTCCGGTGTCCCTGGGGCTCGCGGCCACAATGGCTGCTGTGTGTCTCTTTCGTCATCCCAGTCAGGGACAATCACCCGTTAGAGTTACTTTGTATTTTACAAGCTTCCCAGTGTCTTCTCTGTCCAGTGGCCCCAGCTGGCTTCTGAACCCCCAGAATGCAGCTGACCCAAATTGGACTGCATTGTAAAACACATTTCAAACTGCAAATATTTGGAAATCCTGAAGAGAATTGTAAACCATTTCATTAATGGTTTTTAAAATACATACAAGTTGAAACAATGATGTTTTGGGGTGTGTTGTTAAAATTGACAGCAGCTGCTTCTTCTTGACCGTTAACATGGTGATCTGAGTGCTGGGGTGGGCACACAGGCCGGTGTGCGCAGCTGCTGTAGCTGCTGTTCCTCGGGTCAGCTGCGCCCCCAGCTCGGGCACGGCAGAGTTGGGAACCGAGGTGCGACACTTCCCTCGGTGAGAGGACCAGGTGGGAACACGGGATTTGGGCGTGAAAGAGCACAAATTTTGTGTTGTTTGACGACAACTTTGCACGGGTTAATTTTTCTAACTCACGCAAAGCTTCTTTACAAAATCGCTGTGTTGTGAGTACTTCAGGGCACCAGGTTGTTACGGCTAATCAGAATTGCAGAAAGACGGAGCCTAGAATCTCAGGAGCTGCTGAGGCTGCTCGGGCCTTCCTCAGCAAATTCCCTTTCACATTTGAGAAGCAGTCGTGTCTCCATGACTACAACTTCCAGAATATCTTAGTTATTTTTACAATCGTTATTAGGGATAAAGAAGCAGATGTAAATTACGCTCTTGGTATTTAGTTCCACTGAACCAAAGCTGACAGTTGCTTTTCTTTATGGATGAAGAATTATGTACATACATGTGCATATTGTTTGTTTATTGTACTCTTAGCTAGGACTATTTAGAAGACCAAGAATTTTCTATTTCTAGAAAATATTTAAGAGAAACTCTATTTACAGTGGCACAGTGGAATCAAAAACATAAAAAATATATACATTTAATGGCAGACACAAGGGAATTCAGCCCAGCAGCCAAAAAAAAAAAAAAAAGCTATTTTGGGAGGAAAATTCTGTTTTTCCAGCAATGTCTTTCGGCTTTAGAAATACATTGTGTTGGAGGCCCTGAACCACACCCCGAAGGCTCTGCCTGGTTATCTGGTTTTCTGACAGAGAGCTGGACCCGTCCAGCAGCACTCAAAGGTGTGCCGTCCCACGGTGACAGGTGCCATCAGGAATCCACTGTGTGGCCAGGTGTTAATGAGTGCCCTGTGCCGGGCCTTGTGAAGGGCGCCCTCTCCTTGGACTTGGATCTTTAGAAGCCACTCCGAGAGCTCTGCCCCAGTGACACGGATTCCAGGATGCAGGGAGAGAACTGTGGGCCCTCCCCGCTCACACGTGGTCACCCCTGGACAGCCGGGCAGCCCCTGCTGCCCCCTGCCCTGTCTCCCTCCGTCCTCCACCCTTCCTTCCTTCTCCCCCCTCTCTTTTGTGACAAATGTACATGACATAAAACGTCCCCCTTCAGTGTGGACGCGGCACCTGTGCACTTGCAGTGCTGTGTGGCCTTAGCCACTGTCAACTTCCAAAGCGTCTTCTTTACCCCAGATGGAAACTGCTACCCACAGTGCCAGCTCCCTCTGCGCCGTCCCCAGCTCTCGGGAAGCTGTGGTTTTTCCGTTCTGTTCTTTAAGCATCTGTCCATTCATGCTCGCTGGCTCCGCCTGGCTTCTATGCAGCTGAACACACGTGCTCACTGCAGAAGGAGGGCCGCCCGCTGGGACCTTTCTGGCCAGTGTTCCCCAGGCTGGCGCAGATGCTGAGTCCGCCCCGGGGACAGCACTGCCTGTCTCACCTGGTGCACTGACCGAGGACGAGATGTGGGGCAGCCTATGCGGACCAAGTTCACGGGTTTGCCGATCACAGCCCCATGTGCCATCAGTCACATCAGCCCTGCTGCACAGAACAGAAAGCCCGGCCCTGAGTGATCACTAACAGACCAGGCAGAGCATTCATGTGGGCCCACTTCCGGTCCACATGGACGCATCCTAGTATGACCCCAGAGAGGGCTCCGAGGTCCCAGAGCACACCTGCCTGCCCCTGGCTCGTCCTTGGCAGGGATGCAAAGGTCTGTGACCTCTCTGGGGTCATTTCTGGTTCTTCCTAGAAACCCCCTGACCTGTGACCACGTGCCGAGCAGTGCGGGCTGCATTGCAAACGTGATTGTTTTAAGAGAAAAAGGCGAATGTCCCCGTTCTGGGTTAATGGGGTTACTTGGAGGGCTCCTCTCTGTCAGCAGTGGAGGTGGCTCAGGAGCAGTGCTGGGCAGCAAAGCCGTAACTTCATGCAGCAGGACCAAAGGGACCGTGCACTGCAGAGCTAAACCCACGCTGGAGACAGTGGACACTCGTACCACCCCCAGTGTGGAAGACGGTGCAGAACCCCATACCCACTGCACCCAGCCATGGTCCCTGGTCCGAAGAGCCCAGCCTGGTTCTGTTCGCTGATCCGCTTCTCCTTCACTGACAGTGTTGGCTTTCCCCAGCATAGCCATGAAGCCTGGGTGAGTGCAGGAGTTCTTCGGTCCGATGGCTGTGTTTCAGTGACCCTACCAAGTCAGCGCTGTGTGTCGTGGGGCGGCTTGCGTGCCTCTCTGTGCTTCAGTCTCTTTGACCATACCACAAGGACGATGGTAGAACTGAGGGAGTTAGTGTGCGTGGGCGCTGCAGGAGGGGGTCCCCAACAGCCGGGACCCCCATGGCCAGCAGGGGAGGGAGGAGGACAGAGGTGCTGGGTGTTGCTGACCTGGGCTCCTACTCCCAAGAGCCACTTGTGCAGACTGAGTCTGCAGGTGACTCTCCGTGACGCTGACCAGACGGGCAAAGGGAGCGTCCCTCTGGCCACTCACACAGCAGGGTCCTTGACCGCAGCCCTGCAGCACAGGACACTGAGTGTTTTCCCCATGTCCTCCCGTGCATGTGACCATGGTAACTGCAGCGTGTGGACGGCGCATGCACTAGGGCAGCGTCATCACTACCCCAGGTGCTTGGCGCCACCGACAGCGCCCCACCCACTCACTTCCCTTTGGAGAGGAGCCAGAGCACACGCCCAGAAAGCGCCAGGCTTCCTGGGGTTCTGGGTGAACTCCGGTCTTCGGGGCATTTGTGACATGGCCCCATCTGCTGTCACTGCTGGCATCAGAGGGGCGGACCCGGCAGGGGACCGTGCAGTTCGCTTAGGGCTGGGACTCCTGCAAATGGCATCGGCATTTGCAGCTCGGCAGGAAGGCGCAGGCAGGGCTGCAGCAGGAGGCCCTGCACCCGCACGGGCCGTGAGTCCCAGACACTCGGCCTTCGCTGGCCACAGGAAGAACTTGCGGTCTTAGCCCGTCTGAAAGTCACAGCGAGCAGCCTGGCTGGTGGCTCTGTCATGTCATCAGAGGTTTCCATCCTGTTTTCCTGTGTCTCCCTGCATCCTAAGACTTGGTGGTCACAGCCTGGTGTGGTGGCGAACGCCTGTGATCCCAGTCCTCTGGAGGCTGAGGCAGGAGGACTGCCCCGAGTTCAAGGGCAGCCTGGGCTACCTAGTGAGACTCTCTCCGATAAAAAGTGACCCGCACAGATGACGGCAGCTGTTCCAGCTGTCACCTCCAACTGCAGAGAAACGGCTGCTTCTCTTCCTGTGTCTCATTTTAGCAACAAAAAGCAAGCCTTTCCCCAGCTGCTCTGCTTTGGAGAATCACTGTGCAGAACTGGGGTTCTAGCCTCTCCCACCCCAAATCCTGGCAGGGGATGTTCCCATGTCTCTGGATTCGCCTGTCCTGGCAGGAGAACACATGGGATCAGCGCGGGGGCCTGCTGTGTGGAGCAGGGAGACGGAGGTGTCAGGCACCCCGCCAGCATGGGCGACTGTGAGTTTCAGAAGCAGAGGTGTCTAGACCGGATGTCCTGGTGGAGCCGCTGTCATTGGATATTTAGTGCTGGCTGTTCCAGGGTCGCGTTCCTGTGATCTCACTGACCCTGGGCCGCATCTGCGCGCAGTCACTGTCTGGCTGGATCTTCCTCCCCCTAAAGCTGCAGGCCCAAGGGGACAGTTCGGAAGCCAGCTGGAGTCCCATCCCAGTGTGAGGTTTTATAAAGGATCAAGCGACAATTGAGTGCTTAGCTGGGTACAAGACCAAAAGATGGATCTAAGTAAAAACATGTGGAACTCGCGGACACAGTACCATGTAGGAGGCGCGTGGAAGGGGCACGGTGGTGTGGATGGAGGGAAAGAGGGCAGCGGGGTCTGCGGGAGCAGGAAGTGAGGCGGAGCAGCTGGCTTGGCCTCTGCAGCCCCGAGTTTTACATCGCGTCCCGAGGCTGGATGGACACGCGCGGTCAGCGGTGTCTGCCTGGGCCCGTTGCTACACTTGTGTCTGGCGAGGCTGGAAGGCACATACGTAAGAAATGATAGCACCACATAAAACATAGGGAAAGAAGGACACTGAGCCTGTGTCACGATTTTATCACTGTGGCGCTTGGTGCTGTTACTTACCTGTGATGCCCTCATACCACGTGCACACTTGATGAGATAGTCTCACACTCGTCTTGCACACAGGGGAGGATGCGCCTGCTTTTCCTTCCCAGCTCTCTTTCTGTGTGACATGGTATCACCTAAGGATCAAAGTAGACTACTTTGCCTGCAGTCCTTGGGTTCAAATCTTGCCAGTCTTAGAGAGATGACTTCATCTCTTACACCTCAGTCTTGCCACCTGTGAAATGGGCGAGCTGACCTCCCCGCCAGGGCTATTACAGGGGTTGGATGAGGTAGTGTGTGCATGGTCAGCAGGTGGCCAGGCATTGAATTGGCAGTGATCAGTAGGCCTGGGGTTACCAAGAGGCCCGAGATAAGTGGAAGAATTGTCACACGGCAGGTGACTGCAACAAGAAAAGCAGCAAGGGAAGAGCAGGTTTATGGCAGTTCCGCACTGAGACACGACTTTGTGATTAAGCCTCCCACCCCGCCCCACAAATGGCTGTAGCTGAGTCACGTCTGTAAAAGCTTCCAGTGCACGGGCCTGGAGAGCCTGTGGTGCAGTAATCCCTGGTTCCATTAAATGTCTGGGCCGGGATTTAGCTCCGCGGCACAAGCACTGCCGGCAGGTGTGAGGTTGTGAGTTCGATCTTCAGTACCAAAAAAAAAAAAAAGAAAATGTCTGCTGATTTTCTTCACCAAATCTGTCACCAGTTTCAAGTCCACTTCCACACGACGGAAACTGCTGCTGGCCGAGTCCAGGCTCTTGTGCCCTTCGCTCCGCACGGCGGGTCTGTTACCCCAGGAGAGCAGGGGAGTTGTGAGTCCACGAGGGGATGCAGATTAGATTGGCCAGATTTTCTGTTGGCCGAAATCACTAGGTTTGACGTTGCCCAGTGGAGCCAGGAGTTGGCAGTCTGGCCCCTGGCAAGCCTGGTGTGGCTCCTGGGCTTCCCAGACCCTGGGCACCCATCCGCTCACCCCAGGGTGCTGGGTGAGTCTTGCCGCCTTCCCTGAGTGTTTCTGGGTTCGGGTAGAAAAGGCCGAGGCACGCTGCTGTGACTGCCTGGCATCACCTCCGGGGACCACGGTCAGGAGAAATCACCACAGCTCCTTTCCCTGAGGGTGAGGATGTGTGGCAGGTGGCAGCAGTGAGACCAGGCGTTTGCCCCGCCGGAAACCCAGGTCCTAGGAAAATGTAAGCCAAAAACCAGGGCTGAGTGTGGGACTCTGGGCTGGGACACGCGCGGAGCACATGCAAGGCCCTGGGTCCCCTTCCCAGCAGGAGCCAGACAGCAACCATAGCTGCAGAGTCCTGCAGTCTAGCTCAGTAGGGTGGAGGCTCAGCCATGGCTTGGGAGCCATTTCCTGGACTGTGAAAACTTCCCGGGTGAATTTGAACTATGTAAATGTAAAGCCTGGGGTTCTCTATGAAAACGGAGATGCTCAAAATGCTCTGGTGCTGGAACACTGTTCTGCTCTTGGAAGAGAAGGAGGCGGGGGTTCTGCAGAGAGGCAGAGCCAGGGTCCCGGCCTGGGAGGAATGGGGTGGAGCTCAGGCCCTTCCTCCCTACAGAGCACCGTTCCCTGGGGCTGCACCAGAGTCTCCAAAGGATCCTAAAGACCCTAAATACCCGGGGTGGTGCTGTTCGTGATGGCAGGGTACCAGGGACTGCGCCTCCCTGTCTTTGATCCCCAGCCCTGAGGTTGCACAGGACTTGGTCCAGGTCGAAACACTTGCTCTGTGCGTCCCGCTCCTCTGTGGGTCACCCGAGGACACGGGGAAGCTGGCGCCTCCATGATGTTCCACGCAGCGCCTCGGCCTGCAGGGACCCTTTCCACCCTCCTCATCCCCACCCAGGGAGTAAGGGTGACGGGCTCCAGCCGGGGCTTCTCTCTCACTTTGTTCTGATCTTATCTGTCCTTGGAATCCTTGAGGAGACTGGGTTTTGGGCGTGTCTTTCCTCCAGCAGCGGTGAGTCATGGAAGCTGCCCTGGAATCCGTGGTGCTGTGCACAGTGCAGTGTCATCGGAGAGTCCAGAGCAAGGAACACGGAGGACCCAGAGGAGAGCACCACTGCTCCTAGCACTCACCTGCCCAGGACCCATGAACAGCGTGCTGCCCATGACCGTAAACAACCTCTGCATTTCTTTAGAGGCAACACCCAGTGGTCTAGTGCTCTGAGTGCCAGCCTCAGCATGCAGCGCATCCCCGCCCTTGTCGGGGGAGTTCCATTTCATGTGTTAGTGCCTCAGCTAGAGAATAATTTTTGCATATAAAAAGACAGTGACTTTGCTGTAAGCAGTGGTCTTCTGGTCTTCCAGCTGAGTGAGTCTGACCTTCCGGCCTGTATGACATCGGATGTCGCCTTGGCTACAGTATTGAGGTGTGCCAGGAGCTTTCAGGAAGTTCTTACACAAAACTCATAGGACATGGGACCTCTTTGACTCACAGACATTAGTGCAAGCTTTCCTTGTGTGCTGTAGAACATGGTTCACAGTTTACTCTAGGAATAATGTTTATTTGAACTTTTAAATCCTGTTATTTGACCTATCAGTGATAAACTCAACCACTTTAAAATACATCATTTAACATATACTAAAAATCTTTATAATCTGATAAGGAAAAGCCTGAGGCTCTGTTTATGAAACCCATAATGGAATAATGTCGGGTATATAATGGTCGGGTCTGGTGGCACATTCCTATAATTCCAGTGCTCCGGACGCTGAGGCAGGAGGGTTGCTGCAAGTTCGAGGCCACCCTGAGCTACATAGTGAGTTACAAGATAACCTGGATTACATAGTGAGACCCTGTCTCAAAATACCAACCACACACACACACACACACACACACACACACGCACGCACACTTACAAAACCAGAAAAAAGGACCCAACTCTGTTTTGATCATGTTAATTCCAGAATTTTACTGTATTCTGTTCTTATCACTTTTTCTGCAAATGCAATCAAGTTCTGTTTTTGCATAATTTTATTATGATGGAAAGTGCTGCTCTTCAAGAAGCAAGCGGACTTCGGAGGACTTGGAGGACTGAAGTAACCTCTGCACCATTTTACACATGGCTGGACTTTGTGATTCAGTGAGGGTGCTGGCCAGCGGGAAGAGTGACGTCTGATCCAGCGTCCTGCCTTAGTTTCTCCTTCAGTGAAGCCATCCCAGTGAACTCGGATTTCCTCTTGGTCATGTTGTCCCAATGAAGTCTGTATTGGGCTCTAGGAGTGAGCAGATTTGGGTCTTTAGACTGATCACCAATAAGACCGATTGGCGTCGTCGTCGGTTCTGACTGAGTTCTAGACACTGCGCTGTGGTCTTGCTTGTGCACCTGAGTGCACACCGGACGCGTAGCTCTCCTGTCCTCCCCCTCACTCGGTCCCCGCAGCCACTGCAGCTACTTTTCAGGGCTGCACGGTTAAACTGGAAAGCCTGGACGCACATTACTCGGGCAGAGGCAGGATGTGATTTTCTTTACACTTTCTTCTAAGAAAGTACATTTTGAGGTTCAGCGTGGAGGTATTTTTAAGTGAGACACAGGACTGCCGCTTGTCCTGGCTGTGAGAACAGAGGGAAGGGTCTCCCTGTGGTGGCTTCTGCTGGCCCAGGTAGTGACGTTCCGGGGGGTGACAGGCTCGTTTGAGCCGTGTTGGAACACGGGAGAATGCTTCCTTTTTGCACCTGAATGTCGGCAAAGGGAATTAGTTAAATAATACAAAGAGCCACACATGTCACATTGTACCTCACTGTATCTGTTACTCAATTCAGTGCTCAGCAGAAGTCAGTGCTCGCAATTGTTCCATCAATCGGTAAATGAAATCCAGCAGTTTTGAAAGGTGACCTTCTCCCACTGGTGTAACGTGGCAGAACATTCATGATGTCCTTTAAGTGGACAGGTCAACGAAATGGACAGCATGGTTCACCAATGGTCAGAGCGCATACTTCATGCATTTGAGTGTCTAGGGTGATCTGTGGTACATAAACAAACAGCTGGGAGCGCTTCTTTTCAGGAGCCTGCCGTTGGATCAGCATGGTGCTCACTTTCTGAGTTTTACCCGCCTTTCTACTGAGACTTTTTATCATATCCCTTCCCTGTGCTTCACTTTGTTCCCCATGATTAACTGGGTCCAAATATGTTACATGGAAAGTTCCAGAAGCAAGTGCCTTATAGGTTTAAATAACTCTTATTACACTGCATTCTGTCCTCGTTCACTGTTGCCAATCTCTTGCTTACCCACTTTGTAAGTTAACCTGATCACAGTTACATCTGTCCAGGGAGAAGGCACGGACCCTCTGGGCTCCGGTCCCATCTGTTCTGGGCCCCCACCGGGTATCTTGGGATGAATTCCCTGTGGAACACCGAGGCCACTGTGATGATGTTTACTGTGGTTAATCAGCCAATCCCAAACCAGCATTTCCGTATTTGGGGTGTGCTGAGACAGCTGTTGGATAATGTTCCGATTCTTATCAGAGATACATGTTTTATTGGGAGTAATGTGGGTGATAAAACCCGGGGAACTGGCGGCCAGGCCTTCTCTAGTCTGAAACGTGCAGTCCCTGGAGCTCAGAGACCTCACAGAAGCAGTGGCCCTGCCTGCCCTGAGGACACCATGTGATTTCGGGGCTGCTTCTCATCCACAGGAAGCTCGGAAGAGCGGCCTGTATCTGACACCTGTCCTGCTCCGGAGAGCTTTGTACAGTTCGCAGCTCAGCCCAAACGCAGCCGCCCTCTGCAGGGTGGGATGCAGGCGTGGCCCAGAGGGACGGACGGGAAGGGCCAGCCAAGGACCGGTCTGTTCCCTTGCCTTGCCCCCTTGCCACTGCCACCGTCGGGGAGTGGACAGACTCCGGGAGGAGGCAGACGGCCCTCTTCAGTTCTCTCTCTGGTATTTTGGTTCCCCTTCATGTGCCCCTGCGTCAGTTTGCTGATTGGCCCACTGTGTGCAAATGCATCACTTTGGATGTGTGGTCTCCTTTCAGGTGCCCACTGGCTCACGAGAGGGGAGCTCTGAAGCAGTGTGCTACTCGGGTTTTCCTCTTCCCCCAGTGAGACCCCGAGACCGCTGACCTGAACCCCCAGAACCACATGGTGGCTAAAATGCCCGTGTCTACGTTGTGGTAAATAGAGGCTTATTTCCCTTCATCTGCAGCTTCCTGACATCCCAGGGGCCTTCAGCCCGTGTGCTTTTGTCCTTTAGACATCCCACGAGTGGCCAGTTCACGGCCATCTTGTGGGCACTGAAGGCAGGGCCGTGATTAGCCTGGTCCTTTCCCTCCTGACCACCACGGTGAGTCCCGTTCCAGCCCTCACGCAGCCACTCTGTGACTCCTCTGAAGTTGGCTGGGCCGTCCAGGGTGAGCCTCGAGCTTTGCCCTGGAAAATCTAATTCTGGCCTCTGTGGAATTCAGTCACTGCGTTCTCAAAGCTCACAGGGGTCTGCAGAAAAGCCTGGATTCAGACCTTCCCCTGCACAGATCGTCCAGCAGGCACGTCCTTTCCTGCCAACATCCTTTTCAGTCTCTGCTCCTTTATTTTGCTTTTTAAATGGAAAGCTGACCCTGTATTTTAGATTCCCGCTTCTCTTTTGGTGATTCGGTGTCTTCTCTTGTATTTTTCTCCTGTCTCGTTGGTGATCTACATTAACCCTAGATTTACTCTCTGAGCCCTGGGAGACCTGCAGGACTGACACAAAGGCCCGTGAAAGGCGAGGCAGGGCCCTGGAGCAGAGGGAGAAGTGAGCGTGGCCCAGCGCCCTCCTGCCTGGTGGGCCGGGAGGGGCTTGGAGCGAGTTCTGGGAGCGCTGGGGACCCGTGTAGAGCTTTACGCAGAGGGTGACACTGTCCGGCGTGTGTTTCTAGATGGTCACCCTGGGGAGCCACGTGAGATTAGACAGCCAGGCGTCAGGAGAGGGAGGAGAGCGAACCCCGAGAAGAGAGGAGACCAGGGAGGAGGCGGTGCAGCTGGGACTGAAGTGGTGACCATGCAGACGGTGACAGTGACGAAGCTGGCACACACTGATGGGGCCAGGCTGAGGGCAGGTTGGGATCAGGGAGCCATCACAGAGTCACACAGCAAACCTGGGAACCAGTTCCTGTTTGTTCCGCTGCAGTGGGCACGTCCAGTGTGCAGCCTTCAGTGAGGCACGAAGGGCACCTGGAGGACAGTGTAGGCTCTGCCCTGTGTCCCCCCACCCCCAGCTGGCCGGCCATGCTCTCTCGGCCTCTGCAGCCTGCACCCGTCTCCCAGGGGCTCCGCTGGCTCTGTCTGGAAACCCAGGGAGTCTCCCGTGACTGCTGTCTACGTCTTTCTTCTGTCGGTAGCTTTCTCACTGCGGGCACAAATTCCTGAGATACACAGCTTTGAAGAGGAGACGTTTTGGGTCTGCTCAGGGTCTGAGAGGCCTCAGTCCATGGCTCACCGGCTCCAAGGTGAGGACAGTCTGGCGGAGGGGCGTGACAGGGCAGAGCCCACAGTTCATGGTGGCCGGAAAGCAGAGCACAGGCAGAGAAGCACCCACCAAGGCACCACCCTGTGACCCACCTCCTCCAGCCGTGCCCTGCCTACCAACAAACTCAGCCGTGAGCATCGGTGGGCGCCCACTGCTGAGGGTGGCCCCCAGGGTCCGGCCACCTGTCCAGCGGTTTCTCATGCAGTCAAGCTGCCCCTGAAGATGAGGTTAAGGTTATCGGGCACAGCCCCTCTGACTTGAGCCTTGGGTGTCCTGTGGCCACCTGCCACCTCCGCTTGGGTGTCTAACCAGCATCCCTGCAGTGAGACGCCACAGCTGCGCACCGACTCCCGTGGCCCTGGCTCACCCCGAAGCCTTGCTTCAATTCCCTTCTCCCCATCTCTGTGTCATTCCAGCGCTTACCGCACTGGCTCAGGCTCAGGACCTCAGGTTGTGGCCCCTGAGGGCCTTTGCTCCCTTCCCGCCTCTGAACCTTGGTCACTGCCGTGCACCCCATCTTCAGGCTGTGCCTGCAGCCTGTGGCCTCCTCCCTGCTCCCAGCCACCTCGCCCACGCCACGTGGCTTGTGGCCTTTCCACCAGGCTCTTCCCACCTGTCCTCTTCAGCCTGCCCTGGCCTCTGCGGCCGCAGTGACCCGGCAGAGTGTAAGTCACCTCATCACTGCTCGGCTCCGAGCCTCCTCCAGGGCCCGTCATCGGGCCGCCCTGCCCATGTCACCCTGTCCTGCCCCCCCCCCCCGCTCCTCCATGAGCACTGCCTCGGGGGCCTGAGCTCATCGCCCGCTGCTTTCTCTGCTCGAGGCTGGCTTCTCCCGAGCTCTCCCGGCTCCTCCCTCACCTGCTGGGGTGTGTGTGTGTGTGTGTTTCCGAGGTCACTTTCTCAGCCAGGCCTCCTGGCTGTGATTTAACGGCCCAGTGTCCCCCCCTCCCCCGGGCGAAGAGTTTTTGCCTCTGTTCCCAGGCCCATGGCTCGCACGCCCGGCACGCAGCTGGCCCCTGCTGATGGGTTTCTCCTCCCTCTTCTCTACTTCCCTGGATGTTTGCCACACTGTTATCGTCTCTGTCCGCGCTTTGTCCATAACAGGCAAGGTGGAAAAACCCGTGGGCCACCATGGCTTGGACTCAGGTCGACCAGCTGTGTGGCTTGGGACAGCTCACTTAGCCTCTCTGAGAGTGGAAAAGGCTGCCTGGCCCAGCACACAGAGTTGCTGTGAAGGCTTCATAGAATAATGTGTGAAAGATCACTGTCTTGGTCCCGTTGACGTTACTATAACAAAATACCAGCGCTGAGAACTTTATGCAGAAAAGTGCATTTTGCTGTTTGGAAGGCTGAAAGGCCAGTATCAGGCAGCCCCATCTGTGTGGACTTTGGTAAGGGACTTGTGGCTGTGTCACAGCCTGGCAGGTGGCACCCAGAAGGCAGAGAGGTCACCAGCAAGACAGAAAGCAAGAGGCTGGAAAGGACCAGGCTGGCTCCTGTGCACTCTCTACTCTCAGGGGAAGTAACCTGTCCCTGGAGCCTGCTCCACTCCTGAGCCATGGGTGGGCACCGAGCCCCACAACCTGCCCTCCACTCTTCAGTCCCCCCGTCTCACCCCACCACCCCCAGGGTCCAGCTGCTGGCACACTGGCCTTTGAGGACAAATGCAGTCAAAACCATGGCAGCCATCAAAGATAAGATGTTAGTGTTGTTCACCCGCATCTGTCCCTAGCTCAGCTCGCGAGTTTCACTTCTAGGACTGTCTCACCTGATTCTCATGTCAAGGCCTGAGACACGAGCTTGGGGTCTGAATTCGTGCTACAAGTGGGAACCCTGAGGTGCAGCCAGAGTTAAGTAGATTAACATGTGAGCAGCAGGGCCAGGCTTGAGGCCGGCTGTGTCCTGTTCTGTGTCCTGAGCTTTCCCGGGGCGTTCTCTGTGCAGACACAATCTGGGAGGACTGTGTGGGGTGACAGAAAGGATCTGACCTGAGGGACAACTTCTGTCGCCCTACGCAGCTGCTTGACGGAGTTCTGTCCCCTGCTCCAGTTGAAGCAGGCAGAAATCCCCGCCTTCCAGAGGTACCGTCAAGCGCTCCTCTCTTCCTCCTGCTCCCGGGAGCTGTGACACTGTCACACACACCCCGGGTTGTCCTGCTATCGAACCACAGCCAGATGGTTTTCTTAAGTTCAGTCTTCATACTTAGTAATGTGCCGTAGTTAAATACTGAGACAAACTCGGGACTAAACGCCAGGCGCTCGCTCCCCAAATCACTTACTCTGTGCCGCTCGCGTTCTGGCCTTTCTGTGCAAATGACTTTGTAAATGCGCTGTAATTACTGTCTACCGAAAACCAGCAGCTCGCAGATCAGCTTGGTAGGAGGCGAAGCCAAATGTTGAGGCAATTTGTTTTTAGTGAAAAACAACTAATAAATGAGAGCACTTCTTAAGTGTTGGGAAAAGTGAAGTTGGGTTTGAAGAAACAGCGCTTTGTATGTGCAGGGAGACAAATCATTCTTTAAAGGATTAGATTTAAATATCAAAACGGCAGTCCTCTGGCCAAGCCGGGCACAGTGCGATTTGCAAATAACAGAGCTGTAATAATGGTGATTTGATGAACACCACGTTCAGAAGATTGCCCCAAAAGGAAAACTTGAAATTCCTTGTAAATTCCATTAAGTGTTTTGGAGCTCTGCAGCCTCATGTATTATGTATGACCTCATGTTTCTGAGTTCTGGCCACAGGCACC